TCTCAAACAGCTCAAGTCATTTAGCCACTAGTACTTTCACAGTCACTGAAGCAATCAATTCAATACACTARTCTGATAACTCTTAAACAGCAACAAAATCAGTAATCCTCTGTTACTGATAATGGCAGCAACAAGATACTTGTACATTTCAGCAACTGGCATCCAGGAATTTCTTTTTAGAGTACCCCTGATGTCCATACACTTGGATTCAATTACTATGTTCCTACACGGTCACTCCCTGAAAAAATGTTTCATCCATTCTGCTGGAACCACAATCCCTGAAGTTAAGACGAATAAGCATTCAGCGGCCTGTATTGTTTTCAGAGGAGCTTATTCAAATTCTTCTTTTAAGGCAGTAAATATAGAGGCTATATTCCCAAAACACCTCTCTATATACCTATTTTTCATTTTTGAACTGTCCTCAAAATGTATCTTAATACTGCAAATACAAGACTTTTGCTGTAATTCTCAGGACAGGCAATTAAAAAACTTCTGTCCAGAGCTAATGTTGACTTTCAGGGATTTATCAAATTTTAAGAAAGAAAACCTGCTTAATATTCATACTCTTTAAGTCAAGAAAGCAGCATTCTCTAGTCTGACCATTTGCAGACCGGCATATTACATCAATTATGCCATGCCTGAAACCAGTTGAAGGAAAACCTTAAAAAGTTTTACAGTTTTAATATTCTGAAAGACAAAGGAGTCATTTTTCTTGCTGCTGTGTTTAAATGATGTTCCCATCTATTAGTAATGGATCTCACTTCTAATTTTAGCATATTTTCTGCAACAAAAAATATTCAATAACTATCACTTTCTTCTTATGAAAGTATTTATATTAAAGCAACATTGCTCCTTAAGATGATTTAAATCTKTAAGTTTCTTTTAAGGAACTTTCTAGAGCCCTAAGTTGGTACATTCAGCCTCTTCTGCAACCTAATCCATTCTTAAAGCCCTGTTCAAAATGCAGATCCCAAAAGAAGAACCAGAATTTCAGTACCAGGCTCATCAGTGCCACACTCAGAAATAAAATCACCTGTTCCTACATCTACAATTCCTGCTAATATTCATACACTGAATGAGCTTTTTGTGCCACAACATCACTGTAGAAGATCAAGCTGAATTATTTATTCACTGACTCCTAAATCTTTTCCAGAGTTGATGCTTTTCAGAATGCAGTCCACTCTGCTTACATTTTCAGTTTTTTAAATAAATAACTTTGGCTACTTTAAAAGGAACTTTGCAGATTTAATGGGCCCATCTTATCAAGTATTACAAACAGCTCTTTGTCCCTGCCTTGCCATACTTTTATTATTGCAATATTTTTGTATCACTTGCACATTAGTAATGATTTCAYGATTTCTTTCACATCACTGAAAAAAGGACTCAATACTGCCCATATGTCCCAAATCTCACTGAACTCATTTAATAGTATCACCTTCCTGCCCAGGGATGATTCCCAGAGAACCATCATTCTCAGACTGAAATTTTCAGCAATCACTGAAATCTTACAAGCAAATTTATAGAACATGGCTATAAACCATCAGTCTAGTAGATATTAATTAACTTCTTGTTTGATTATTAAGGGATTTGGAAGCTCATCTGATTCAAATACAAAGGACGTTTTTCTCTAAAAGATATACAAGTATGTTTTTTGAATATTGCTACTTTGCCAACATGGTTAGTCATGATTTTACACCCTCATTATTTTATTCTTGGTTTGTAGCAACACCATCCTTTTACCCACATCCTTGTCAGCTTACTTATCAGCTCTGATGCCCTTAGCATCTTTTATCAGTCTTCCCTGCTTTATAACTCATTTACTGTTTCCATAGCAATCCTTCACATTTTTATTTATTGTGATATTTTTTCTCTACTTTCAATTGCTTTTGATTCCCACTGAATATCACATATTTGATTCAAACATAAATGATTTTTTCCATTGTAAAATGTTAGTAAATCCTTAAGGACATTTTTATTTGCTAGAAAAACCCTTCAGAATGATTCTATATTTTGAGGTCTGATGTAACCGAGGCCAGATTTTTTAGTGTTTACTAGACCATTAATTTCACAGAAGTACAGAAACCAAGTGCTAGAACAAGGAATGCTATTTTGAGACTGCATTAAACACATGTAGAGGAATGTACTATGATTGCTAAACAGCCACAAGAATATTTTTCACACATCACATTAATCAGGCTTTTAATCTCCCTTTTTCAAACAGTATTTTTGTCCTTTCAAATAAAATACTCTAGCCTTTTGTCGTGGGTCAAACACTTGACATTTTTTACAGTGTGTTCTACAAGGCCCAGCTCAGCAGCAGAACTACATTCWCATTAGTACCAGCATCACCAGCGGACAGAGCCATGATTTATTAGGCAAAGGGGAGCAGCAGGSACTAATTGGTCATATGAGGACACGTAAGTGTGTGAGAGGAATGCATAAACAATGGAGAGTGTATGCAAAGGTATCTTGCTCCTCTGGCATGCCCAAGGCACAAGATAAATGCCATTATTAACAAATCTGAGATATAAGAAAAGGAGTATGAACTACACATGTAAATTCTTCATTCCTCARAATAGTATCCTGACCAGAAAGGTTCCTGTATGAAATAAAATTTTTATAGTTTGAGAAGATATAATTTAGTAAATTAGAAGGTAAGAAAATGTCTTTATGTTAATTTTCTCACAATAAATTAGGTCTGTAATTAGAACTTTTTACATCACCACCACCACCACATTGGAGACAAAATGCAGATTTCAACATGTTTCAAATACTGGAAATGTCTTTACTTTTTGCAATATGCCCATAAGGGTATATGTATCCTTACAGAAGAAATGATGATGTTCTGGAAGAATTCACTGTGTATTCAATATGTACAGTTCCATAAGRACAGTAAGATATTTTTAAAAGTCTTAGGGAGGGCCAGAGGACATTTGCATGTATCAGGCAACCACACTTCAAAAGAGCTGGCATGGTATCCTCAGTAACAGTTGCAGAAATAATGCTAATAATATTGTAAAATAAGGCTTTACATATCAAAACAGCAAATTTTTTTAAACTGCCCTTGATCTCTTATCACACCATATTTAGTAACAGCCACCAGTGTAATCCTTCAATGTGGCCTATATATTGAATTAGAAGGTGTTCCTAAGAGCTGTACTTTGGACAAGTCAAAAAATAAAGAAAGGAGAAAAATGTCCACCCAAACCCTTCTAGTCTGGAACAGATGGAGTCCACAGAAAACTAYTCTCCTAAATGTCAGCTATAACTTGGTGATTGGTTAGATTCTGTCCACCAGAATATAGAGGCAACAGTGACTTTAAATTGTCACACACTCAGAGCGGAGCCTGCCAAGTATATGAGTGACTGCTGGTAGTTTCACRGATTTCACTGAAGCAAGAAATTAGTATGTGCTTGCAAGCTGGTGCCCATAGTTAGGTATATATTGATATTAGAGTCAAAACAATAATCCAAATCTTTYTTCATTATGGAAATCCATTTGTTTTGTTGAACTGATCTGCCCTCTCTAACACCCAAGCACTACTCTGGTAGAATTTCAGTCTGGGAACTCTGCAGTTTAGATTAAGAAAAAAATAAGATTGCTTCTGTCATTTCTGTCCATCAGAAAAGAGCGTCATTACCCAAGTAAGCCTGTAATATATTGTTATGCCAGATGTATTTTATTACCATTGATTTATCCATAAAGATAATGCAATTATGGCTATTTAAATATTATCCTTCAACTATTTACTCATCTTCTGAAGAGAAAAGCAAGGCATATTTGAATACTGATTGGTTGATTTTGAGGTTAAGTATTGAGTTGGAGATGTGGCTCTTTATACTGCTTGTGGTTCTTTTTATTTTTTCTTCCACATAAATAAATCAGAGCAGCCTTACAGCATATTGAATGGAAACTGAGCAACAATAATCCCAGAGGCAATCAAAACTTAAAAATCCATTAAGTTTTGAGTCTCCATAGGAACTTTCCATCTTTTCATTCCCTACACCATAAACCACAGTTTTTTATAGCAGGGGAGAGCCCAAAACTATTTGCAGTGACGGTAAAAACTGGCAGATATTTTGTGAAATCAGGCCTCTGAAAATAGAAAAGGTAAGTTTTAATTTTATTTCAGACAAATCACAGAAGARTAATAGAATAGTAACTTATATTATCAAGATTGTGTACTGCCATTTGGACACCTAAGGATGAGAGCAATGGGTGCAATCGAGATCCTTAAAGGCTTGTGACAGAAGTGTGGTATGAGAAGAAAAAAATTTGTGTTCAGCATAAGGAYCATAGAGACCCATGAAATGTTAGTTGGACATTTGATTCAATTAATTTTAAAACGTTAGGAATTATCTCAAATAGCTTTATGCTTTGTTTCTGTTCACAGGGACAGCTTTTTCCAGTTTTTCTAACATGGCTTTTTGTAGACCTGAAAATTTATGAAACTCTGGATATTAAACAGGTCAAAACAGACACTTTAGAGCTCTGTAATATTTGAAGAAAATGCAATATTAAGGAAAGAGTGAACTATTAATTTATAAAATTTTCTGAAACCATGTAAAAGGAATTACAGTTGTTTCAAAGATAAACATAAATTTCAGAAGCAAGGAATAACATAAAATACATTGTGCACATAGYTCTGTATTTGGTCTGAAGATCATCAAAACTCACACAGTAGAAATGTCGACTTCCATGCACACACATTCTAAGGCCAACATCAGCTCTACATTTATAAACTAGGTTAACCACAGAAACAGTGAATTTATCTGTATCACTGTACTTGGCACCTGGACATCAAAGTAAAACTGTGTTCAGAAAGAAGCACTGTGTATTAAAAACCTGTCTTTACATAAAACCTTGTTTTTATTGGACATCAGTGAGTCAAAGGCAGATGGTTGATCTAATTTTAGTTAGGGACAGATACAACCCACCAGCGGCCAGGGTACTCAAGGGTAGCCAAGGTTATGAGCCCCAAGCAACAAATTTATTTTACCTCATATTCAGATTCCAGTGTCACAGTGTTCTGTTTTAATTTTTCTTTCAAAGCTGGATCAACCTGAAAGACAAACAAAAATACAGCAAAAAATTTAAAGTTTGCTTTTAAGAATGTTTTTAGAAGAAATCTTAACCTCAAATAAATTAAATATTGGTACATGCATCTTCTCCTCTAAATGAGTTTATGTGCCATTGGTTCAGACACCAGGATGATGAATACAGCACAAGAATTGGGCTGAAAAGGAACAGGTCAACAGCCAAATTATTAAACTCCAAAGGGAAACACATTTTTAACTATAGCCCTACACCTGCATTACCTTAYTTACTTAAACCTGTATTTGTTTAGTTTAAAGCTGTTAAACTAAACAAAGCTTAAATAAATGAAACAAGCAAAACAGGAGAAATTTGGGATCATATAACATATTATACTCCTGAATGTTGAGTTCAGTGGATAGGTATACAATATATCTTGGCTTTTAAAGTCTAAGCATGAATTGAATTTTTAATTTTCTGGTGAACACATAGCTCGTTCCTAGTTTTGATTCTGTAMCGATAGTGCTGGTGTTTTCTGCCACCTTTCAGAGAAGCTTATTGAAAGAACAAATCTAAGAACAGACATGTCAATGATCCACAGCAGATACATTTCACTTTTCAGCTTCTGAGCCCAGAAGAAGTGATGTTCATCCCTCCCTCTGCTAAATAACATCTGTCTCCCACAGGTCTAAGAGTAGAAGCAAAGGGAAAAAAGATAATTAGCATTCTTCATGCTTAGAGAAACAGCCACATATGCAGTATTCAGACATAGTCTTTAGGCAAACTAATTAAAATACCAAATAAATCCAGCATGAAAGAACAATCTCCATTTTAAACCCTTGAGACCAAAATAGATGTGCAAGGAGACCAGTAACGTGTATAGTTCTACATCCCTGGTACACTGGTCCAATTACAACTAATTCAGTGAAGAAAAGTTGTTATTCTTAATTTGCTGCTTCTTGATCTGAATGAAAAGGGCTCAGTTACTCTCATCACAACCAATGTCAAACTTCTACGAGCAGTCTAGAAAACAAAAAGGTGGGCATACACATAAGAGAATTTGCCTGGTTGATGAGAAGATCCACCTTCAGATTGTCCCCTCATTCAAGTTCTTACTCAACAGAAGTACTTCAAATACTCACAAAGTGTCTGTATTGATGGGAATTGCTCCGAAGAATTTCCCTAGGCCATAATGTTCCCCTTGATTACAGACACTGTCTGCTAGTTAGCATGCAGCCCGTGAGACCTCAGCTCCTAAGGACGGATGCCCAGACAGGCAAGTCTAACACCATCTGTGCATGGCCAGAGGTTTGATTTCCCTATCTCATCAGCGATCTGGCTATAGAAATAGACACATTTGCAACCTCCAGACTCATTATATTTGGGAACTAAGCCAAAATATCTAAAACAGTTAATGTTTGTACCGGATACAGCTCCCACCTTCTTGGTAATTAAAAAAAATATTACAAGATAGTGTCTCTGCACTGGCCCTCTACATCAAATAAGAAAAATGAAATGCTACATCTCTGTCTGGCCTCTGTAGAACTGCCCCTCATTAAAGATGGATTGCCTCTCTGCCATGACCACCACATCCTCCAACAACAGCCATGCTTCATTAGAACAATGAAGCCATCCATCACATGTGCAGAAATGTGAAGTCTTTGGGCAGCCAGGCAGGCTTTGAAGCTTGCTTTCACAGAGAGAAGAGTGATCTTGGACTTCACTGTATTCAGAACTAAATGCAAACACTATTTGTTACACTTTGTGTTCTCACAATACACATACGGACAAGGGGAAATAAAAGCTACAGTAAGTAAGGCAGCATCAGAGTTTTATTTCATCCTACATTTCCCCTTCATTTAATAATAAGGCAAACAAAGTAATATGGTTGGAACATTGTTTTTACCTAATTAACCACAGCCAGAATTTAACCTACAAAGACAGTTCAATCTCCCCATTATTAAGTTTTACTTTATCAATTTTTAGTGTGTTTGTTTAATGTGTGGTGCTTCCATGGCCACATTTGTGTAAGGCAAAGGCAAACAACCAGTTAAGCTACTGCTGCTTCTCCTTCCTTCCAGCCCCTTCTGCCCTCAGACTTTCTCCTGTCTTCATTCCCCTCTGCCTGCACAAAGGCAGCTAAAATGGAGACACAGCATTCCAGTTTGATGCAGTGGCTTTAATGTTAACAAAAATGCAGAAATAAAGGAGCCTAAATGAAATTTCTTTCGAAAAATACCCTGTAAATGTGAAATGAACAGAGGGCGCTGCTTTTAGGAAGCAAGAGTTTTATTGGGTAAATTAACTTACTCAAAAAGACTAGTTAAACCCTGTTTTAAGGGCAAACTACATACACATCTTAAGCTCGCTCTGAAAAACATGTTCTTTTGCGCCAAGTTCCACCAAAAAAAGTAAAAAAGAGGAGCAAGTATATATTTCCTCTTATCTTTATCTTTTTTGTTCCCTACATACATACTTACTCACACAGAAGAATTTAAACATACTTGAGCCTGCACAGCAATTCAGTCACCTGCACATTCTAATGTCTGGACTGCAAACCCCTGCTTTTCAAGTAAGACRAACAGGTTACAAATTGTTTAAGGAACCCACACAGCCGCTGAGAAAAAGCATATTATGAAGTTGTGTTTCCACTGTGCTTGCACGATGCTGCACTATCTTTGAAACAACACAAGAACAAAAAAAAAAAGGAAAACAGAATGATGCTATTTTCATTCTGAGGAGGCAGATAAACATCAATATGAGCCACAATCACAGATCATAACCAGGGAACACTTAAAATGGGGGCAGAGCCAGGAAAGTGCCCATGCCAAAGCAGTAGCTCTGTTGTATTACACATCTGCCACAAGATCGAAATACAAATATACATTTTGCTTCCATGATGACTGCTATGCCAACATGTACTGCCAAATGAGCTAGAAGTATTCAGCCATGTACTGGCAAATGAATCTTCAGCTAAATTGTGGATACAAATCAGTATTAGTAAACATGATGATGGCAGCAGACAAAGCCCAAATGCCATAACATCCTGACAGCATCCTCTCCACCATTATTTAGGAGGCAGGAAGGAACAGCAAAAATATTCCTTTACACTAGAGGACACTTCTTCTTTGGTAACATCTCAGATGCTCCTTTAAGATCCATTTAAATTCAAACTCTGTCTCTAAATGTAGAATTCAAAGATGTGTGCATCTATAATTACAGCATAACTTCACATTAAATTCTTACTCAAAGATTACTGAAATACTTGATGCAAGTATTTAGACAACTTTCATGAGATGCGGTCTGCAAGGCTTTGGAACCAATATTATAAATACAATTCTTAAAGGCTTTACTTTTTTTTCTTTTTTAGCACTTGCAGCAAAAATGAATGAAACATTCTCAGAGTATTTTGCATTATACAGGCTTATCTCATATTACATCAACTGAAAGGGCAAGTGCAATATAGAAAAATCTCAAAAAAGGTTTAAGAATAAAGCTTTCAAATTAGAATTTTGTCCCATTTCACACTCCCACCATTCCTTCAGATTTACCCTTACTTAACTTCAAAAGGTTCCCAAAGAAACAGACTTTAAAAAGATTTTTAGATGGCTAAAAGTAATAGAGGTTAAGCACAGAAACATTCTTAGAAATCTTAGTAGGCAGCTACTTGAAGCTGTAAGTAACTAAAAACCTTTTAAAACGTGGCTGACACTTCTCATTTTAATGCTAACATTTCAGTTTTTCAAACAGAACCTGAACAGCATTTCTAGGCATTCAAAATGGTGCAAACAATGGGCAAATCATTACATAGCAAAGCAGGAACACCTCATGATTGCAGCCCCTACCAAACCAGGGACTCCTGCARTGCCCTGTGAAAAATATACACTCATCTCAGGAAAGGGAATTTTTTGTTTGTGACACAAGCATTTCTGGTACAGTTACAAACCTAAAAGTGCTGCTACTAACAAAATTTTCCAGCTAACAATTTTGTATCGATATTCAGTGACCACAGTTCATTTTACCTCAGAAGCCAATATTACRAGCAGAGAATGACTGAGAAATCTGTGAATGCCACTAACTTTAGCTCCAGGATAAGGAAAGTATAGCTCTTCTACAAGGCAACCCAAAGAACCCCATTACAACCCCTTTTGAAATTTAGAGGTGTGGAACACCTATCCATATGGGGAGAGGATGAGAGCACTGGAGTTGTTCATTTTGGAGAAGAGAAGACTTCAGGGAAACCTGATTGTGGCCTTTCAATAAGGGGGGCTTACAAGAAAGACAGACTTTTAGCAAAGCTTTTTAGCAAWGCCTGTAGCAATAGGACAAGGGCTAATGGTTTAAAACTAAAAGAGGGTAGATTAGACTAGGAATAAGAAATAAGTTTTTTTACGATGAGGGTGGTGAGACACTGGCCAAGGTAGCCCGGAAAGGTGATAGAAACCCCATCCCTGAAAACACTGAAGGTCAGGTTGGAAGGGGCTCTGAGCAACCTAATGTAGCTGAAGGTATCCCTGCTCATTGCAGGACAGTTGGACTAAAGGACCTTTGAAAGTCTCTTCCAACATAAACTATTGTATGATTTTATGAAACACAGGAATACAAAGCCGATTAGCTGTGTCACTCCTGTTCAGCATTCAGAGAGGAGGAATAAGTTGATACACATTCTAATTTTCAGGTTAACATCACAATTGTCCACAGTGCACATATGCCTGGATCCATAACTCATATAGCCCATTTTTACAAGCAGTCTTTCTATGCTATAAACATTACTGTTTATTTGTTCATGTACTATTTGTGGCCATGGGCTTTAGAGCAAACCAAGACTTGAATATATTACATCTTCTAAAATGATGGGTTCAGTTACTGCACAAGGAAACTGTCAGGAGACAGCCACATCATGAGAAGAGCACTGTGCTTTCAACAATCTTCTCTCACACAAGTCTGTGCACTACACTGTAAACTTGTGTCCTGGCCTGTACTGACCAAATATTTGTAAGGCAAAGTCTTACAGAACCTTCCCTCTAG